AGTCATGGGGAGTTGTGTATAAGGTACCCCTTGTTTTCCAGCTTCATGACCATTTTTGTTATTGTTGTTGGGAGACATCTACAGTGTATGAACAGTGCATGCTTCTCCTTTGTAAATGTGGTGCCAAATCCCTGTTTGCATCGTTTTTACTGTAGCAGCGTTAACTGTAGTCATCCTTAGTCAGTATGTTCTTTTTCTAAAACTTGCATTTTGGGACTTTTTTTCTACTTTGTCACGTGTACAGATTTTAATCTGTTACGGTTGGCAGCAGTATTAAAATGGTGAGTAAAGAGTCCAGGATTGTTCCTGTTTGTAACTAATCCTTTCTGGAAATCTTGTCTTCAGTTTCTTTTTGCCCCTGCTGCGTGTTCTTTGGCCTTTGTCTGAGAGTGGGTTTAGGTAGATGGGTGTCTTTGAAAGTCTAGTTCCTTGATATAATAGTATTATGAAATATAGGGCTAAGGGCTTTATGTGCAGTCTCTGTACAAGTGATATGAGTCATAATCCAGCCTCCTGATTTATATTTTGCTTGTACTGAGAGCTACAGTCCTTTTGTACAATACATAACAAATGTCATTAAACACTGAGTGGACCACTGGGGGATGGCAAACAGAGAATGCATTTTAAGCATTTCAGATCAGTAGTTTGAACAGTGCCTTTTGAGGTCCAGTCTTTCTGAATTGGATCCATTTCATCTTTTGATGTTACCTCCTACTCATTTAAAAGAAGGTTGGTGGTCAGAACTGCATTAGAAATCAAGCCACAGTGATCAGTGCCTTTGCTGGCAGCTTTTAAACTTTTTAATTCTTACACATTTTGGAAAATCATTTTTATGCAGACAGTATAACTGTTATCTAACAAACATTTCTGTAGAGCTAGGAAAATGCCACCTGGAAGAAAGAAAAGTATTGATTTCAATCAGTGCTTGACTGGATTCTCACATTAGAGGGTTGATAAGTCTTACTCTGAATTTATCTTTCTTTTGTTATATTCTGTAATATAAAAGCATCTGGGAATGAGAACTAGTGAAATACTTTTGTCATAATTTTTCTATACTTTCGGTTTAATAAAATGGTGTTGATAAGCTAAAATAATAGATAATCCAAATTTAATTTTACTTCAGAATGCATTTTGTATTTTCATTTGAATCTGTCTATTTTTTAAGCCTTTCTGTTAATTAAAAATAGAAGTTCTCTACATGTTTGCCTTTACATACCACTTTAATTGCTTTCAGTTTCCATGAAGTTGTTCTTACCTTACCATCCGGTGCCTTTCTTCCAAACAGAAGGAGGCGGTTTTGAATTTTCAGACACTACCTGAGGAAAGAATCACCAAAGCTCTCTGAAGAGGCTTCTCACCTATACATTCTAAAGTGTTTCTATTCAGCGAAGCTTTCATATCTCTAATTTGTATTTTGAAGAACATTTCTTAGGCAGAGTAGGAATGTGGGAATAAAATATCCTATGAGCCTGGAGGAAAAAAAGATTGATACTTATAATTAAAGAAGCCAAAAGTTAGGTATTTTCTGCAGAAAATGCTGGTGTTTTATGATGGATAATGTTCCTATGGAAGTGGCCAGATCTTAGCCTGGCTTAGCCTACTGTATCTTCTTCACTGATGGGTTGTTACTATTTACAAGGTGCTGAAATCATAAGTGGACCTTTCTCATATATATTGTTAAACATGCGTTTTAGACTTTTTAACCAAAAATAAGTACTGTCTTTTCTAATTCATTCACTTAGCATGTGCCCCTTCCCTGGTCCATGCTGCTGTTTGTAGTTGTGGCTTTTGATGGTGCTTCTGTGGCCTGGCTCGTCACATTCATCTCTGTATCTGTTCACTTAGCACTTGTTACAGGACTCTCTGGTAAAGTGAAGGAGACAGTGGAGACAGTGAAGCCAGTCTCTCATTCAGGTAAACAACCTTCCTCTGCCTTTCCCTCTTCACAGTTCTCTAGTCAAAGCTAACTTAGCACTTGTATTTAATCCTCCCTCCCACCGAGACAGCGTTTCTCTGTGTAGCCTTGGCTGTCCCAAAACTCAGTCTGTAGACCAGGCTGGTCTCGAATTTATGGATCCACCTGTCTCTACCTCCAAAGTGCTGGGATTAGGCATGTGCCACAATGCCCAGGGAAATCTTATGTTTCTTATATACTACTGACTGTAAGGAAAATGTTATCTTAGTTTGCTTCTACTGCCAAGAAACTATTGTATTCTTCCTCGAGCTCCGTAGTACAAAGCAGAGACCTGACCAGCTCAGACACAGTTCTCTATGTGACTCAGTGCCCACCGTGCATTATTAGATTGTTCCCAGTAAGCACAAGAGACATACAGGACATCTAGAGGCTTGCCATAGAAACTTGGTTCTATTGAATTGTTAAGAAGTGAAAATAAAGGTTTTTCTAGATGCTAAGAAACTGATTTCCAGAATGGTCAAGGTCTTTTTTGCTTCATCTTAGTTTTACATACACAGATAAATACATACTTACACTCCATTGATTTGGAGCTAATTTTGTGGAGGATATTTTTGAATGAGTCAGGGTAATACAGTCCCCTGTCCCCACCAATACCGCCGGGCTAAGCCATGAACTTTTGAACAGGTCACTTTCAGTCTTACGTTTCCTCTTGTGTGGTCCAAAGATGGGCTGCACTAAACTATTCTTTCCAGGGATGATAATCTGTAATTTGACCAGGTAGAAATAACATTTGGAAATATAATATACTTTATGATAATCAGGATTATAGTACACTACAAAAAAAAATGTCCTACGACACATGTACTTAGAGTAGCTGGTGTATAGCATTGCTTATCATAGCTTCAAAGTGAGGAGCTGAATTGGAGTTGGGCCTCAATTTCTGGATCTTTGCTTTATATTTCAGCCATTGCCATTTTCCATTCACCCTGGTAGGCTCCCTTTCACTAGCTCAGTATATCTTCATGTTGTTACCAAGCCGCGCCCCCAGAGGCTCTGGCTAGCGGGGGAGCCCTGCCGGAAGCTGTGCTGGGGGCTGTGCTGGGTAGAAAGGGCAGTGGGAGGCAAGCGCTCTTCACTCTTGACCACCTGCTCCCCGCAGTGCCAGCACTCTGGTGTGCACCTCTGCAAGTGGAGTGGAGCTGGGATGAGGTGGCACCTTGAGAGTGGTGAGGAACGCCGACTCGGACAACCTAAGTGTTGTCATCATAGGGGCTGTTGTGTGTGTGGCATTTGCTCTGAAGACCAAATGACTCGTGCTGCTTTTATGCATCATTTCTTTACCCACAGAAAGTGTACCGGCACATTTCTAATTACTTTTCCATTATTTTTATTGTAGGAAAGAATATATAGCAAGAACTCTTTAAGTTTCATAATTAAGTATAGAGTTAAGTAGCATTAGGTACACTCCCACTGTTTTACATCCATCACCCCCATTCAGCTCCAAAATTTATTTTTTCTAATTGTAAGTTCTACCTACCAAATAGTAACTTCCACTTCCCTCTTCCTTCTAGCCCTGGTAACCATCATTTTGTTCTGTTTTGATGGTTTTAAGTGCCTCATATAAGTGGATCTATATGAGACTTGTCCTATCATGTCATCATAGTATTAAAAAACAACCCATCAGACTGCGAAAGTTAGCAGTCTCTAATCATGCTGTGGTAGGGATGTGTCCAACAACCTGTCACTGCCATCTGAGGAACCCATGCCGTCAACCAAACACATTTACTTATACTTCTGTGACTGCTCAATTCTGTTTGGGAACCTATTTATCTCAGTTGCATTCGTCTAAGAAGTAAGATCACAGTAAAAGAAATAGGGTTGGGTGTTTATTCTTAGTGAAAAGAATGAGTGCTGGCTTAGAACGAATGTGACACCTAACAATAATGACTAATGTACATTTCTAATAGGGCAAAAGAAGAGAAAGAGCAGAATATATGGTGTAGACTTGTTCTTAGGGGTTTTGTGTTTTCTACACAAAGTTTTCCATGTACATAATCAAAATGTCTGGAATAAAAATAGGTCAGGTAGCCTGGTGGTGTGGTGATGGTGGTGCACACCTTTAATCCCAGCAATTGGGAGGCAGAAGCCAGCCGGTTTCTGTGAGTTGAGGCCAGCATGGTCTACACAGGGGGACACTGTTTTAAAAAACAAGCAAGCAAAAAAGCCAAAACAGGCGTTGATGCAGAAGTACAAATTGACTCTGTAGTTGTGAAGAGTGGAGTGGAGGGACAGTCTCGGCCTGCCAGGAGTAAGGATTAACGGCAACAGCAAGTGTGTTCCTCCCTTTCCTGGGAGTGAACACAGGCTGAGTTTCAGAACATCATTTTGACGTTGTTCTAAGGTACAGATAAGTGGGTGACCAGGGCCCAAGGAGTTAATGGCAGTGCAGCAGGGCACTTTACACTCTGTGTGTAACCAGTTCTGACGCCGTTGAAAAACGGCTGGGAATAGAGTCCTTTGAGGAGTTGCTCTTTCTCCTCTGTCTTCCAAGAAAATAATTTTGTGAGATTTGTATGCAAGGTAGAGTGTGTGAATTTGCAAGCCAGTTAAACATTAAAATGTCTGTCAGAAAACAGGAGGGGACCAAATGCAACTCTGGTTTTGGCTTGAGTTTTACGGTTCTGTGAGCAGTCCCCGTTGAATCGGCTCTTATACTAGAGGCAAGTTTTTTGTGACTATTAGTAGCGAAAGAAATAATAATAAGAAGCAAACTGCCTAGTACAATGCGGAAGGGGACCTCTCATGTGGAGCAAATAGGGTAACATTGTGGTCTGAATAGACAGTCATACTCTGGGTTCTGTTTTTCGAGACAGGCTCTCATGCTGTAGCCGTGGCTGACCTAGAACTCACAGAGGTCCGCTTATCTCTGCCTCCCAAGGACAGCTGGAATTAAAGCTGTGTGATACTACTCCTGGCCATACCTCAACTGCTGCTGCTGCTGCTGCTTCTCCTCTTTCCTCCTCCTCCTCCTTCCATGGCTGCTCACTCACAGTGCACATGCCTTCAGCTTGTGCACTTCCAGAATCTTCACATCATCTGTGACCGTCACTGCAACCACAGCTGTTTTGCTCTCTCGGCCAGCAAGCTTCATCTTTTGGATCATGTGTGTCGGGGACAGAGGTGGCCAGTTAGTGCAGCTCATAAATAACCTTTTCAGCACAACCTGATTAAAGGTGGAGTTGGTTCGTCTGGCCAGAAACCTGTACAGCTTAACTAGCAGCTGCAGGTAGATGTCGTGGCTCTTGTACTCCTTGTGCCAAACCTTCCAGTCCTTGTGGTGAATGTCAACCCCCATGATGGTACCTCCTGCTCAGCCAGGTCCAGAAAGCTACCTCAGCTTCATTAAGCTCCAGAATCTACACATAAAATTCTTTCATTTGCTTATTTCCTTTGAAATTCTGAATCTTATTTTATGCAATTTTAAAGCCTTCTGAGGGGCAGAGCCACTCTGCCCTTTTGGGTATTACCCTTTTTTGCAACTTATTTTGCCCAGGTGGAGTTTGTTTCTTCTTTTAGTTCTAGTAATTGTTAGTAGTCATACCTAGAGAAGTTCCTCTTCAGGTTCCTCTTCCAGAGGACCTGGGTTCTAAAAACCCAATTAGTGGCTCACAACCATGTGTAATTATATTTCCAAGGGTCTGACATTCTCTTCTGAACTCAGTGGGTACCTGTCATGCAAGTGATGCACAGACAAGACAAGAGCATTCTGAGATGTGTATGTTGGTGCATGTCTGAAGTCCTGGCTGATCACCAGACTGAGTCAGATGGATATCTTGAACTCACAAATACAAGAGCAGTTTTGGCAATACAACGAGACTCTAGCTCATAAAAACAGAAAAACCAAACAAAATATTAACCCAAAAACAGATCCATGGCCTTTATCCTGCTGGAGGGACCCGTGATCCAAGTCAGACTCTCAATACTGCATTAGAGTGAGTGGACTGGTGATGGCTGGGGCATGCCATTCAAAGTAGTCTTTGTGTTGCCCTTTTTTTGCAAGATGCCTTGCCCAGGTGGGGTTTATTAGTTTCTGTTTCTAGTTTTTGGTTTTGTTAGTAGCCATTCCTAGAGAAGTACCTATGGTAATTCTGGCAGGTTGGTGTGTGTGTGTGTCTCTGTGTGTTCATTTGTTCCTTCAGACTATTACATGAATTCTATTTCAGTGGTACAGATTGGTTCTTCAGTGGCTTTCAAGCTCATGAGGCTGGCTGGCTCTCTACTATTAATATTGCTAGAAGCAGCTAAGTGTGAATGGGAGTTTCTGGCAAGGAGCAGACTTTCATTTTAATTGACACTTTCTTTTATATACTAAAGCACGGATGCCAAGTTCTTTCCTCACTAGTAGTTGTAAATGCTAAATCTATACATGGCTTCACCACCTCCTGTCAAGATAAATGCAAGCTTCGTTTCCCTTCTGAGGAGTACGAAGGAATAATTTATCCCTGGTTTGTTTGGGGAGATGTTTGCAGCCAATCTCACAAGGACCCAGCTGCAAAATTTCCAGGGCCTTAAGCTCAGCAGTCCTTTTTGTTCCTGTGAAACATGGAACAGTTGGAATGAGAATTCAGATTGCTCAACTTGTTCAAACTCTGTGATACAGAAGTGGCAGCAGAAAAGGCCTAAGTGGGAGTGTGTTGATGTCCTCAAGTTCTGTCACACACTCTTGAAAGCCAAGCAGTCATTTAAAGAGAGAAAGGAAAGTGGGAACCCAGGGTAGGAGGGAGGGATAATTTGTTTTTAATAAAGGTGATAAATTCTGAATGAGTTTCTTAGGAACGAGCAGGCTCACATCTTCCGTCCTGTGATCCAGGTCTCTGAGCTGAGACATATACACTGCCAGTAAACACACAGGAACATGTCTAATTGTTAATGGTTCATCTCTCAGTGTAAGGAAGGTTTGCTGTTATGCTTTGAGAGAGACCATTCTAATAACCCAGTGTGGTGGTCTATCGGTTGCAGCCTTCATGGTGGCTTTCCATGGCCAGCCACAGCAGCTTTCATGTGCTTTCTCCTCTATTAGATTTGTGCTCTTCAGAATGACCCTGTAAAGTAGGTGGGGAAGCTAACCTTTATTATAGACGAGGGACTTTTGCTTAAAAGAAATGAAGCATTTCTATTTTTGTACTAAGCAGAACCAGTACTGGAACCTGGGCCTTAGGATCTCTGGCAATGTATTCTTTAAAGTGTACTAGCCATACTACTTGAAAAACAATTATAAGCATGCCTTCTATATCTCCAGCAGAATGGGCTTATATGTTCTGGTTCATGTTGACTAATTTTCTGCATGAAGTCTCAGACTCGAGGCTACCTGAGGAACTGAGCATTAAAAGAGCCCACAGTCCTTGAGGTTTTCTTTGATGATAATGTCTGTAACTGCATCAAACACAAATTTGACATTCTGTGTGTCTGTAGCACAGGTCATGTGACTGTAGATTTCTTTGACATCTTTTCTCATGTTGAGGTCAAGGAACTGGCTCTTGATATAATTCCCGGCATCCTCATAGGAGTTGTTTCCTGTTTTGTTTTGTTTTGTTAAAAAAAAAAAAAATAACATGGAATAAATTAACCTGTAATTGCCCTTCGGAGTATTTTGTTAGGCCAGTGCTCCTCAACCTGTGGGTTGTGACACCTTGGGGGTTTGCATATTAGATATTTACATTCTGATTCATGACACCTTGGGGGGTTGCAGATCAGATATTTACGTTCTGATTCATAACAGCAAAATTACAGTTACGAAGTAGCAATGAGATAATTTTTTTATGGTTGGGGTCATCATGAGGAACTATATTAGAAGATCACAGCATTAAGAAGGTTGGGAACCACTGTGTTAGACAAATATGGCCAGGGTCTGTCTGGGGGAGTGAGGCCTTTCATGCATGTAGGTGCTATTCCCTTGAGTGGAACAAGGACATGGAGGAAAGTGGTCTCTGTCTCCACTTTTGCTTTCTGGCAGGTATCCTTGGAACAGTTGGTGGCTCTGCTGTATCCATCTACTCTATTCCAGACACATCTGAACGTGAACCTTGAAACCATTCCTCCCTTAAGTTCCTTTGTGTGTTTTGGCCTATGGAATGAGACAGTCTCATCATCGTTACCCTCATCTGCACTTACCATCATACTCCGGAAAACAAATACTGAGGTGGACTTTCTTAATTTTTTCCTCAAAGAGGTCCTTCTTGTTGAGAAAGAGAACAATGGAAGTAGCCGCAAAGAACTTGTGGTTACAGATGCTGTTGAACAGATGCAGAGACTCATGCATGCGATTCTGGCGAGGAAGCAGTGCGATCAGATCAGCTCATGGGATGGATGTCTGTTTACTACTGTTCTGACCGAACAGACTAGTGCTCCAATATAAAGGGAAAGCAAGGGAACAGATCATAGGTTTTTAGTGAGGTGGGGCACAACTAAACATTTGGGTTCCTTCCATTTTCCTGTCATGTTAATAGTTTTGATTTGGGGGAGTTTATTAGCATCTCAGAGTCTCAATTTCCTTACAGTTATGAGAGCTAAATGAGAAAGAACATCCATCTGTGGTATCCATGGTAGTAGCCGACTATAGGAGACCTGAAGACTAGAATACCTAAATGTGGAGGTTGTTAGCTGCCTAAGTGCAGGGAGCATCTATAATGCTGCTGTTAGGCTGAAGCCAGGCCCAAATTAGCACTTTGTCACTTGCTTCTTCAAGGTGACTCTGCTAGGCTACTGTCAGGGGATCCCAAATTTCAGTTGGGGCATGACTGTGGCATGGAGTCTTTGGACCCTGGTGTCACAGGGAAGGGCTGGAGGATTTCCCAGTGCTATATCACCAATACTTAATCTTCTCTCATAGCTACTTTGAAAGATAAGGAGAGACCTGCTGTGTGTTTGCGGAGTCTAGAGTTCACCAGTGTCCAAGTCCACTGAGCATGTAGGGACCTGAAGGGTGCCACCAGCTGACTTGAATTCATTCTTGTCATCTAACCAGGGAAAACTAATTTGTAGCCTTTCCTCACTGGTAATGCTCCTGCTGTTGATACTTCAATACCTCCTAAACTCAGCATAAAATGGAAGAGATCTTGGAATGTGAATCATGCTATAAGACATTTTGGCTAAAAGGTACAGAATTCTCTACTATGAACCTCACCAGTTGAGGAGAAGAGAAGAGAACCAAAGCTGGAGTGACAGGATAGAAGCTGTGTTTTCAGTTGGGCAGCTGGCCAATATGGAATAAATGTTTATGTGAAATGAGTGTTCTCACATCTTTGACTTCTTTATCTCAAACTCAAGAAAAGGGAACTGGCATAAAGATAGCCATTGAAAGTCCTCCTTGCACTCCCTGTTTCATCTCTCTGTGTCCACTTCGCATCATTTCCTCTTGTTTTGTGATAGCCTATAATATGTGGGTTTCTGATCTCAGACCAAACTCAAGTTCAGTAAATTGAAGCTTTGCAGTACTAACCTAAAACCTGCAGCAGAAAAAGGGTTTTTTTGGAGTTATTGATAAACATGAGACAGATTCCTCTGCTAGGAGATATCCAGGCTGTCAGGATTAGCCAGGTGGGGCAGTGGAAGGACAAGGTTCCCACTGAAGCTGGTGTAAAGGTCACTCACCACTTCATCGTCTTCCACCAGCACCATGTCATAGGCACTGAGAGCAGCACAGAAAATGATGCAGGTGACTCCCTCAAAGCAGTGGATCCATTTCTTCCTCTCTGACCTCTGTCCTCCCACATCAAACATCCTAAGGGAAGATGAGGGTGTGTGCAGCATGTGACTCACTTGCCTTTGCTATTCACCCTGAGAGAGAGTTGGCCACTTGGGGCCAGTTAGTAGCAAAATCAGAAATAGGAGAGCCAGGAGGAGGCGGAGGACAGTAATTGAGATTGGGCTTCAGCAAAGGCCAAGAAACATGCTGTGAGACCTGAGACGCCCCAGGGAACCCATTGCTGACCTGAAATTCAAATCTTTAACAGAAAACTTGGTCTCGATGATGCCCGTGGTTTTGACCCTAGATCGAAGCACATCCTGCTCGTTAGGGAGGTAGTCAGGGTCTGTAATCCGGTCCAGCTGGTTCAGGTAGCTATCAAAAAAAGTGGCATCGGTGATGTTACAGTCTCTAAAGTCAAGACTAAGGGAGGCAAAGGGTCTCCTGGTAAGTCACACAGCTGATACAGGGGCAGAAGCAGGATTGGCGGCCACGGCACTCAGTCCAGGTTCTGCGAAGGCTGTGCGCCTAGGGGAGGAGAGAGCTGGGGCCACACCCATATGAGGCAAGTGTTCTGTCCCCCTGACTAAGCCTTTCTAGACCTTTGAGACTTAAGTATGTGCCCAAAGTTCCATCAATAGACAGGAAATAGACTGAAAGAGACTTTGAACACACGAACCATGAAGGCAATGTGTGGACCTGATCTCCTGAGTCAAACTGGGGAATGTGAACACATTTCGATATTTGGATACTAAGAAATTACTAGATATTTAGGTGTAATGATATGATTTCTTCTGTACATTTTAAATATATAAGGGAATTCTCAGGGTGAAGTGAAAGCTACAGAGTCCTTTAGAGCAGTCTAGTGGGAGGGCTGTCAAGTGAACTAGAAACAGCCATGAATCAACTGCCAACTAATGGTTCACTCTATTTCACTTTTGTATGTTTGGAAGTTTCCATGAGAACATGAGAAAGTACAAAGGGTAGAAAGAGGGCAGATGTGAATAAAATGACTTAGTATGGAAAGGGAAGGAAAAGTGGCATGAATGTCTCATGTATTTTCACATTTAAATTCTCATTAAATCTTAGAAGACTTGAGATTCATGTCCCCTCTTTACAGTTAAAGGAAAAGTTTGAGAGACACAGACATGAGGGCTGAGTTTCAGACCAGCTTTGGCCACAAAGGAAGGCCCTGTCACATCTCAAAACAAGAAAGCCCCTGGCATACTATGAAACCTCAGCTTTGCAGTCATGCAAACCTGGATTCAAGGGCAGCTGCCTTTGCCAAGTTAACTGACATCAGTGAACTGCAGGTTTCCTAGTAGAAAGTGGAGCTGATGTGCCTTGACAGCTCATGTACAAACAAGTGAAGGGCCCTGAGGTACAGCGTATGTCACGCACCTAGCAAGGAACAACAGAAACTTAGTAAGGTAGGACTGCAGAAACTAAGTGATAATGTTATTTCAAGATGAGGTGATAGGGGAGTAAACATGGGCCTGTTTGGTCCCATAGCTCTTGCCCAGTTCTGATACTGTACTGTTGCGGGTGTGGATAACTCTGTCCCTTATCTTTTTGGAACCAGCTTTGCCAAGCAGTTTGTCTCTTAGTGTCTGACCATCTTTTTTTGGTTTGCCTCTTTGAGATAGGGCCCAGGACTGCTAAGCAGAGCCCCTGTTTTGAATGTTGTATCTTCAGCTGCATAGGCCACAAGGAGCCATTGTAAAGGGATACAGAATAGTGGGAACTGACGGATCTCCCCGTGGGCTTCAGTTCAGTGTGTGGGTCTGCAGCTTGGAAGTGCTTGGAACTTAAGGCTGGGAGAGGTCTCCCCTGAGCATCATCCCCCTCCTCTTCCCCAGAGCCTTACTAAGATGCCGAGTCATTGAGCTGGAACTCTGCAGCCCTGTCAAAGCAGGCTTGAACTCCACCGTCCTTCCACAACTTTCTGATGACCTCTACCAGTTCAGGAGGCATGGTCCCCTCCTCAGTGGAGTCAGCCAGGTTGTTGAGCTGCCGACCAGCATCCTGTGTAATCCAGAAATCTGGTTGAGAATGAGCTAGGAGTAGGTGAGTAGCTTTCCAGGAGGTTTCTGGGAACTTACTGAATGCAAAATAGTTTGCATTGCTCCCAAAGCCTCTGGCAGTACAGTCTCAATGAAGGTGCAGTTTAAGTAAACATGCTAATTTACTTTGAGCCTGCTCTCCAGGTGTAGCCAGCCATGAGGTGCCTAGAGGATAGTCCTAGGTGCTTCCTTCAGGTTTTAGATTAGGCTTCAGATTAGGCTGAAAGTGGATGGCTAGAAGATAATAGGTCCTGTGCTGCAGGGACTGGAAATTTAAAAGCTACACTGGCCCTAAAATACACAATCCAAGAAAAAGCTAGCATATTAGCTCATAAAATTCTCATGGCTAGGGCAAGAAGCTCAAGGAGAGAATTTAAGTGATAAAATGAAAAAAGGAAAAAGATGCTGAGTGTCAGTTTTGTAAGCATTTGTTATAAAAGTAGGGGTTTCTTACTCTTGTAGGACTAGGATGATTTGAAGCTTAACAGATGCAATTTGAGTTACACAGAACGTTTTCTTACTCGACTTCCCTTGCGGTTGGTCTCTGGTCCTGCTTCCTCCCCCAACCAAATAACACCAATCACCTACCACACAACTTGGTTCAGCATAGTCAATGCCTAGTGTGGACATGGCTCTGATGATAGCCAGGATGGACTGCAACACGTTCCCATAGATGACAGACTTGAACTCAAGGCATTCTTCGGGTGAGTAGCCATCTTGGTGAATGATCCTTCAAGGAACAGACACTAAACTTTTAGCTGGACCCGAGGAACGAGAGCTAAAGGATTGGGACTCCAGGTTGGGGATATAAGGGTCATAGGAAGCCACCTGTATTCCTACTGCTCCTGTATTTCTGTTACAGTTCCCAAGTGCAGGGTGAGGGGAGGGACATTGGAGATCAGGTCCTTTAGTTCAGGGTTCCTTTGAGCTGAGTAGTACCCTTCTGCTCAATACCAACGCTGGCTCCACTGATCCCCCCCACCACCACCTCAGTCATCCTGGAGTTGTGTTTTTACTCACTTCATCTGTTTGACAATAGTGCTCTTTCCTGACTCTCCAGCACCTAGAAGGGAAATATTCACACTGTCAGTTCTCCCCAATGATCCAGAAGATAGTATGTGAACAGCGCTTTCTAGGATACTTAATTGGGAGACAACTTGAGCTCAAGCCGTTCAGGATGTAGAGCAATTTCTCCCTATTAGCATTATTTACATGGAGGAGGGATTTGGGGGGGGGGGTTGAAACAAGATTTCTCTGTGTAGCCCTGGCTGTCCCAGAACTCATTCTGTAGCTCATGCTGGCCTCAAACTCAGAGGGATTTTCTTTTTTTATGGCTGCCCAATGCATTGTAAAATGTTTAGAACTGTGCCTGGTCTCTACACACTAGAGGCCACCAGCATCCCACTCTTTGTGACAAACAAGTCTCTCCCTAGTGGGAGTCTTCCCAATTGGGAGCCACTGATCGACTCATAGACGTTCCTTTAAAATAGCCACACTGCCTATTTTTGACTGGGCAAGTAGGTGGGTAGGATTGGAAAGAGCGGGACCTCTTCGTTGAAATGCTGTTTTTCCCTACAATCTTGATGGTGTCTGTTATTGGCTCAAACATTCTAATGTCCTTATTCAAGCTGTGCTCTTGCCCATCAAGATCTCACGTTCCTTTAGACCTCTCTACTGTCCTGATCCCTCAATCTCCTCCTACCTTACCTGTCCTTGCTTTCTCTAAGCTGCTTACCATGTAACTAGAAAATCTGTTTAGGCTTAAAAGATCTCCCTTCTCTGTCGTCTCTGCTTCCTGTGTGTAACTCTTGGATTCCTTGGAGCCTGAGCCTAGCTTACAAATAGGCCCCGTTAGTGTGTCCTTAGGCTTTACTGCTCCAATCCCTATGTCCTCAATGGAAACCCATCCCGGGCAGCCAGCCTTCTGCTGCATAGAGCCAGCGATCCCACTTCAGTAGTACCATGGGTATTTTTGTTTCTTGTGTTTTTCATAAGCCAGGTATCAGTTTCTTATCTTCTATTTGAAGCCATGATCATTTTCCCTGGCTGACCCACTGAGATGCTTTTATCATCTCTGTGCCAACCGGTGAACTGCTTGGAGCGGGATCAAGTCGATGAACCTTCCAGATGCTAGGAGCTTTAGAGCAGTTATGTAATAGAAAGCCAGGAGGATGTGTCCATTGTTAAAAACTCCTCCTTCCCTATGTCCCTTCCCTGCCTACCAGGTTCCTCTGTGTAGGGAGGAACTTTGAAAGCAAGGAGAAGGATCCCATCTACTTGGCAAAACCCAGTAGGCTTATCTTTGAGACTGTGTGTTGGGGTTGGGGTGGCGGTACCTTATGAATCCATTGGTGGGAGACATCCCTGTTTACTTACTCTGTGGCACAGTCATCTTGGTGTGTGCCTGGATGGCCAGGGTTTTTGGTAGTGTTGAACCAAAAGAAGGTGTTGTTGCAGTTGGGTAGCTGAGCCCTGTCCTTTCACTACTTATAGTTCAAGGAAAAGTGAGAGTTCTGTAGCTCTGGCACTTTGGGTCTCCTTGTGGTTAATATGTGCAGCTCCATATTAACTTAGCTCCAAGCTTTGCTTGCTTTCTTAGCTTGAGGCTGGACCAGGATGAAAAGAACACACCTGGCCCTCCCCTGTTGGTCAGACCTCCACCATCCCTCCAGGAAAGCAAAAAGAAGTGTTAATCTTCCCCTGTGTCAGTTCATCTGCTCCTGTCACTCACCAAGCAACAGCAGCTTGACAGTCTTGGCTTCCTTGTCGGCATCCTCCTGCAGCTTCTTTTCCAGCTCCTTGGACCTCTTGGCAAGTTCTTTGTCCTCAGCACTGATTCCACTCCCCATCACTGCTGTCTCCTCAGAGAAGGACCACTTTCTCCGGCTCTTAAAATTTTCCTATAAGGTTCCTGTCTGAGACAGAGAAAAAGAAAAATAGATTGGGACAGAGGAACATTCTCTTGCTCCCATAAAAGCTGGGTGAGAGTGCGGACTGCTCCTGCGCCCTGCCTACCTTGGCTTTCGACTCTTATTCCAGCTGGAGAGAGACTTCTTAATCTAGGGATTGCCCCCTTTATGTCCAGCAATATGACAGATCAAGCCAATTAAAAGCTTTGCCAGTCAGACAAAGGGCAGAGACAAATGCTTTGTTTTTTGTTTTTTTGCTTTAATGAGGAAAATGACCTGGGTTCTGACACAGCAGGGTAGAATGCAAGTACTGGAGCTCTGGGAGGAAATGGCCACCTCCTCCCTCCTGAAATGCGCATCAACTGAGAGTCTCTGCTCCTGTGGCTTCACTGAGGGTTAAGGGCACTCTCCAAGTTGAGTCTTTGGATTACAAGGTTTTGGTTTTAAAGGCTCAAAGGGATAGATAATCCTGGCAAAGACTTGTGCCACCCCCAGGGGCTATTATTGTTCCTTTGTGCTGGCTCATCTCGCAGGATGCCTGTCCCATCCTTAGCACTCTCTGCGTGTGAGTGTGTGTGTGTGTGTGTGTGTGTGTGTGCAGACTAGGCTAGCCTCCAGCTCAGAGCTCTGCCTGCCTCTGCCACCTGAGTGAGTGCTGGTTCTAAAGGTATGCACCACCACCTACCATTTCATATTGTACTTTGTTTTCCCACTGTACATTTCTTCCATCTGGGGACTAAGTCTGATTTACCTTTGAGTTTGTGATTTGCTCGTGGATCCTCAAAAATATTTTGGTAAACGAAAAAGTGGAGGAAAGGGGGATATGGGGTAGAGACTGGGATTGCTCCCCTTCGCCCCACACCAGCTTCACTTGGTTAAGTAGGTGTCACTCATGTTTTGTGCGGGTAGCACGTCAGTGTCACCCCACACAGCAGCTGGACACTAGACTGCCTACTCAGAGATGGGTTATTAGGTCTGCCCCTCGACCTCTTGGCTGTCCTTCTGTGGGAGTAAGGGTTCGACCCAGCAATTGCCTCACTGACACTGAGCACACCTCTTTGGTCAGAGTTCTCTGAGCCAGTAGTTTGATTTAGAAGAGCCCTCCCACTACACCCCCCCCTCACCTAGAGTTATTTTAGCTCGCACTTTCTCAACCACCCTAGTGCTGAAACCCTTTATCACAGTTCCTCATGTTGTGGTGACCCCCCTTCCCCAACCATAAAATTATTTCCATAGCTACTTTATCACTATAATTTGCTACTGTTGGGAATCTTAATGTAAATAACCTATTTGCAGGATATCTGAGATGCGTCCGACCCCACGGGTTGAGAGCCAGTGCTTTAGAACATTGCTAACCCCTATGTATGGCAAGGACCAGCCACATCAGATGCCCTGGGGGTTTGTTAGACACAGTCTCAGCCCTCAGCTCAGAAAGTCCAATAAATAATCTGCATTTTATCTCGGTTGACCCATAGGGCATTCAAGTTTGGGAAGAACTGCCCTAAGAAATTGTTTCACCCCAAGCTTGCCTACTCCTTATGTCTGTTTTCTGAAATATGGTTGGAAGATCACCTGGCTTTTCAAAAATGTTAAGAATAGTTTAAAATATTTGAAAAGGGCGTGTTTTAAAAATCTATAAATTACAGTAAAAATGTGAATTCTAGAACCTAATATAAGTGGTTATTACCTGGCAAGGTTGAAAATTGCCCAGCCAAGCATGGTAGACAGAGTTCAAGGCCAGCCTGGTCTACAGAGTGAGTCTAGGACAGCTAAGGCTACACAGAGAAAACCTGTCTCAAAAACAAAAACAAACTAAAACAAAGTAAAAAAAAAAAATAAATAAGAAGAAGAAGAAAACTCTGTCCTACAAAAGTACAATTGGGGCATATACACTGGCATTTACTAGAAAGGTAAACCAATAAACAATAAAAATTGGGTTTTGTTTTTTAGCTATCTCATGTAGCCTAGGGTAGCCTTGGATTTGAGTAATGAAGGATGCCCTTCTGATCCTCCTGATTTCACTTCCCAAGTACTGTGATTATAAGTTATGTGTCCCAACACCCTGGAGATCCAGCCTAGGCCTGTGAGTGAGCCAGGCAGGTTCTCTACCAACGGAACCACAGCCCAAAAGGTTTTTGTTTTGGTTTTTCAAGACAGGGTTTCTCTGTATAGCCCTGGATGCCCTGGAACTCGCTCTGTAAACCAGGTTGGCCTGGAACTCACAGAGATCTGCCTGCCACTACCTGCCTAGTGCTGGGATTAAAGGCCTTCACCACCACTGCCTGGCTGGTCATTTTAAAGATTGATTACATTGGCCTGGAGTGCAGTCCAGTCATGAGATTTAGATTTTTCCTCAGGTGATTCTCAGGTACAGTCAAGGTAGAAGAACCCTTAAGGTAAACAGACTGAATTTGTGCCTTTTTGAGCCCAAATTGTGTGACAGTGGGGTAAAAAAAGAGGAGGAGAAGCTAGGTCCCCACTAATCAGACACTGGGAACCCAGAACAGTGGTTTATCATCTTCCTTTGCCCCCCCTTTAAGTTGGTATCTGGGAGACCAATGAGAAAGAGCTGTGGAGGTGCCTGCCACGGCAATCCTGCTGTCCCAACCCAAAATTGGCTTGTGCTTAGTGACCTAAGGGAAAACAAGAGTCTCTTTGATGTTGTGATTGTTTGGAATCTTGGCTAGGAGGTTCCAGTAATTATACCCCACCACCAGCCCTGCCCTGCTCTACCCACAGCACTGGTAACTTACACCCAGACCAGAGCTGTGCTGAAGACTGTGCTGTTCAAAAGAAGGGACCTCAAAGGACTGTGTGTGTGTGGTGTGGGGTGGGGTGGGGAGGGGAGGTGCATGTCTTTGTGCCTTTGCTGCAGGTGGGCCTGCGGCTTGCTTCAGGTCACAGCTTAGTAAATAGAAAAATCAGTCATCTCCCCTTCACCAGTCCCCATCTCACCGGGTGAGAAAACAGTTGAACAGTTGAGCAAATGGGGAAACTGTGGACAGCTGGTGTGCCTGCACCGCTGTGCAAGAAGCCACTAGCTTGAGTCACATGGGGGGCGGGGGCATGACCCTGTACCTTTTTTTTTTTCCCAGCTGCTGTTGCCACAGCCTCTAGCCCTGCTTGGTCTGTAGCTGCTGCTGGACGCTCCCCACCCGCACATTCCAGTTGAGAGATTCTCGGCCATTCCCTGGTTGCTGAGGGTACAGGGACCGCCTGCCTTCCCTCTGGTTGTCGTATTCCGGTGAAGAAGGCAGGGCGTGGGGAGCATAGTACCTGTTTTGGAGCTGAGAGAAGCGCAGCGTGGTGGTCCCCCCTCGGCGTGAGGGTATGGACGGCACCCATGTTTGAGTCACAGCCTTAGATGGTCATAACATTTTGAGCGAAAGCAATTGCTGTTTCCTGAGGGATTTGGGCACATTTCCTAAGTGAAGGAGATCTCAGCATCTGCCTCACATTTAGTGAGAAGCTGTGCCCCAGATGGAGTGTAGGACACTGACACAGGAAGAATTGCCTTTGGGAACTTGCAATCCACAGGAGGAGGCAGGGGAAAGCAGAGTAACAATTAAAAGGTTGATGCTAATGTTGGGGGTTTCAGAGCTGTTGAAAACCTTGCTTCCACCCCCTGGCAGGAGAGGCAATTATATCCACATCTATTGTGATTAAAAAAAAAAAAAAAAGAAGTATGTGTGTGTGTGTGTGTGTGTGTGTGTGTGAGAGAGAGAGAGAGAGAGAGAGAGAGAGAGAGAGAGAGAGGGGAGGGGGGAAGCCAGCCACTCAGACTCTTAACAGAGCATGCAGTAGATTAAAGCAGTAGAATCCTGAGTTCTTGATCAGCCTGACCTACAGAAGGACCATTTCAAATAACAACACCAGCGAAAGCAAGGGGTGGTTGTGAGGAGGACGGACTTTCCTCAGGGAGCCAGGACAACAGACATGGAGGATGGGAGTCTGGGGAGAGGAAAGGGGGAAAGAGAAAAGGTCTGAGGTAAATGTGGGTTTAGAGAGACTAGAAAGTCTGCTGTGACAGGGTAGGAGTGCTAGGAGATGAGATCAAGAAAGGGAAATTGAGGCTAGCTAGAGGAGGGCCTTGCATGACAGGTTAAAAGATTTGGCTGAAAATGGCTGGGCACCTGATGTGCAAACAAGCACAGAGAGACAAATGCAGTGCTGGGTGACTGAGGTGAGGGAGGAAGAGGAGTTGGCCGCAGGGTCAAGCTTGATTCTGGAAAGGCCTGGATATAGGAAATCACCCTGGGCGAGTATCCCTTGGAAGCTTCAGATATTTTCTCCCAAGTCTTGTATCACCTCTTGTAGAGGTCTGTCCTGCTCAGGCTGACATTACCAGGGGGAGCTGGAGGTCAGAAAACCAGGACATCTGTTCTTTAGAGAAACAGGGGCTGGCTGACGTTGGGAAGGTCCAGGTGAGAAGCGTGGTGGAAATAGGTTAGGAGGAAGAAGCCCTGTCTAGAGGCAGGGAAGATTCCAGAGACTACAACAGCATGAAGGCTTCAGTACCAGAGAGCCCAAGGCCATGGGATGACTCACTCCTTCGTTCTCCAAGCTCTGCTCTGCATAGGCAATGAAACCCCGCTGAAATTCTTGCCCGTGTTGAATAGGTGGGACCCTGATGATTAGCTGGAAGCTGGACAGACTCCCTAACAACCACTACAGACCACATGACCTGGAAATAGGGGGGTGGGGGCTAATACCGTGAAGGGCATGTTGTTGCTGGTGGGACTTCAAGATGAAGGCGCCCATGAACTGGTTTGTCTGGGTTGGGTGGAGAACAGGATTGCCACCTATTGGCTAGGTAGTTAGGCAGATCTGGATTAGGGGATCCACGCAGGCCTGGTCCAGTATAAGGCTGTGACCCTTAGAGTTGTATCAAAACCTGCAACTTAGCAGAACATAAATGAGCATCTATATCGTCACATGGT